AGGAGAGGAGAGGAGAGGAGAGGAGAGGAGAGGAGAGGAGAGGAGAGGAGTTGCATTATAATCTCATTTGTCAATACCATTTTCCCCTATTTTCAACAGGTCATCTTCCCCAGTTCAAATTACTGTATTTCTTTAAAATACGGATAAGAAGGCAAAAAAGAGCATGCTCTATTCCTGATCAATAAAAATCACTGCTTTACCTTGTTCAGACTGTAAACATATACTTTCCCTTGCTCCTCTTTCTCAGTTCCCATATACATAGGAGCTCCAACAAGAAGAAGATCTGTAAATGAGTCCCTGTCAATGTCGACTGTGGTAATAACACCCCCAAAGTATGATCCAATCTGTAGGAAAACACAAAGTATACATCAGAGACAGAGTGAGCAACATAATGCTGCATTTCCTTTCAGAGACCTACTTCTTGCCTGCAACAATAACAAATATTAACCACTAGGCATAACATTTCTTTACTAGCTAGACTTTTTTGGTCTGTTTGTTTTTAATGCTTATTTTCAGTTTTACCATTTGTCTGATTTTTTTTTATTAACAAGTGGGCCATTTAACTTTCAACTCCTCTGAGTTTGAAAGGATAAAAGGGTACTTTCTACCTGTTATGGGGAGTATGACCCCTTAAGACAGCACTGGAATAAGAGTATCTTGGGGAAGCTAGTTTTCTCTACAAAAAACAAGTAAAAAAGCTTGGACAAAACCTCTGAGACAGCTCAGTGCAGACCACCAAAAGTTTCAAGTTATTATTTTCAGAGGAACAAAATCTACAGGAAGAGATAGATACATTCATAGTTCAGGTACAAGCTATAGGATTTATCTGATTATATTCACTTCACAGATAAGCAAGATACCCTGCACTTCTTTTACACTTAAAAGGAGAAGCAGCCTCCTCTACCAAGATACATCTCCTCTCAAAGAGATACTTCAAGTAGTCCAAATGTCTCAAACCTTAAAAATCATAGAATCACAGAATGGGTCAGGCTGGAAGGGACCACAGTGGGTCATCTGGTCCAACCTCCCTGCTAAAGTAGTGTCATCTTTAAGCACATGGCACAGCATTGTGTCCAGATGGTTCCTGAATATCTCTAGTGATGGAGACTCAAAATCTCTCTGGACAAACCAGAGAGATTCAGACAAACCATTCCAGTGGTCACCCATGAGGTAAAGAATTTCTTCCTTGTGTTCAGATGGAGCTGTATCTCAGTTCCTGCCCATTGCCTCTTGTCCTATTGCTCAGCACCACTGAGCCTGGCCCCTGCTCTGACCTTCCCTGCTGGCACTGACAGACATAGATGAGGTGCCCTCTCAGCTGTCTCTTCTCAAGTCTGAATAGGCCCAGCCCCCTAATACCTACGTTAGTTCACTGACTCTAAAAAGTGTGTTTGATTGAGTGATTGATTAGCTAAGTTGCAGACATCAGCTATAGATGAAGATTAGGTAACCTGAATTCTCCAGAGAGAAGCTGATATTGTAGCCTGGGGACATGAAAATAGGTAGGTCTTTCAATTCTCATAAGCATAATATTATCTTAATAATACCATCCTTAATTATGCAATTAGGTGGAGATTTTTCCTCCTACAGCAGCTCTCAGTGAGCTGCTACCCAGCATAACAAGCAACTATTCAATATTTCAGTCTATCCCAAAACTCATCAAAACTCTTTCCTGCCAGTGACATGCTCTTCCTTTCAGCAGACAGAAAAAATTGTGCATACAGAGATGGCAGCAACCACTTTGACATTGGTGAAGATTTAACCCTCAAAGACAAAATTCCCAAGTACCTACTATACAGTCCAATTTGCATTGCTAATAATACCAGAGGATCTGCCTAACTTTTCCTTCTGATCTTGCTTACAACTCCCAGTTTCATGTGTTCTCATTTGAAATATTTATTTCTTCTGCTATATTAATTTTGTATGTTAACTGTGAATGCATACTTACTTGCTCTCCATTTAATCTCTGAATCACTTGCACCTCTTTTCCTTCCATCTTATAAATGATAACTTGGCCAGTGTGATTGTATCGTGGCTGTCCTGCTATGTACAGCACACCTCCAGGTGTCACTGCTGAATTCACAGTATATCCTAGGGAGCAGAAAGAAATCAAAATGCAATACACACAGAATGCATCAGAAATACTTGCTGTGATTCAGAGCCTTTGTAAGGTTTATTCCACAACCGTTTAGCCCTATTCATGGTAGAGAGCAATAACAGTTAATTAAAAGGCCTTTACAGCCTCAGAATGAGGAGCATCCCTGTGTTATTAAACTTGTTCCCAGGCTGGTGAGCCATGTTCATTATGCCATTCTCACACAGTGTAAGAAATAACTCATGAATAGCTGGCTGAAAAGCTGCTTTCAAAGAACAGTTGTCACTGGCCTGCTGTCAAACTCATGGAGTCTTCAAAAAGTGATCCTGGGGGCATTTTGAACCTACCTCTGTTCGTTTAATATTAACAACAGTTTAACAACTTTGGTGAAGGAAGACTTGAAAAATTTCCAGTGAAATTAAAACTGTGAAAGAGTTGCAAGTATTAAGGGAGTTTACAATCTTAATTTGAAAATGACATTACCATATTGGAATTGAGAGTTGTAATAAAAGGCAACAGCTGAAGGCATTTGACAATGAAGAAAGTGTACTTAGGGAAAAACATTATAATATTCTAGCATTGATTCTTCATCTTTAGAAGTATGAATTAAATGAGATAACAGAGCAAAGAGAAGCATAAGGTATAAAATGCAAGACCTAGAGCAGAGAGTAACACCACTGAAGCTTTTTGATAGGAAAATACCCTGCCAATATGGAAAACATTATTATAAAAAAAGATGTTGGTCTTGCCGGTTTTGTCCATTGAGTAACAGAAAACAGGCTAATTTTAAGCAAATATTTGGACTTAATATTGTATAAGAGTTTTTAACTATCAAGGCATAGAAAAACTTCATAATGATACTACAGCAATCTGGGAAATCTTTGAACGGATTACACATCTCTGTTGGGAAAGTCTAGATATACTTAGGTCTATGTTTGGACTTGTTTTCTAGTTGTAGGAGTTGTTTTTATTTTTTTTAAAAGAACATAAAAATCAGAGAGTAGACTCGCTCCCAGGCTCCTGCAATATAAAATATTCTGTAACATACACCTTTTGAATGACCTTTGAGAGGCATCTTGTAGCACTTGTTGAAAAGTGTTGCAAGTGGGCTACTTCTCTTACCTAGGTAGGCTGCAAGAGGCTCATTTCTTTCTGAACGCCTGTCACGAAAGGTGTCATTAGTTGGCATTGAAATACCAGTGTCTTTCACCATGAGTACTGTGCCATTCCAGTCATATGCTCCAACTGCTCCGAGCATGATCCAGTCCTTAAGGAGAGTAAAACAAAAAGTCTGTTCCCTATGTGAATCATCTTTTCTCTTTGTGAATCATCTTTAGACATTCATGGTTCAGGATGCTTACATCTGGGTAATGCTTCCTGCGTATTTACATAGGTAACCTTGCTTTTCCTATTATGGTACAGGTCCCACAATCATAGGGTCATAGAAAGGCCTGGGTAAAATTGCTCAGTTCCAACCCCCCATTGCAGGGATGCCACTAACTAGACCAGTTTGTTCAAAGCCCAATTCTTTGAACACCTCTAGGGGTGGGGCATCCACAGCTTCTCTGCACAATCTGTTCCAGGGCCTTACATTGCTCAATGTAAAGAATTTCTTCCTAACATCTAATCTAAACCTCTGCTCCTATAGTTTAAAACTGTTCCCTCCTTGTCCTATTGCTAGCTACCCATGTAAAAAGTCATTCTCCCTCCTTTTTATAAGCCCCTTCTAAATACTAGAAGGCTGCTCTAAGGTGTCCCTGGAGCCTTCTCTTCTTCAAGCTAAGTAACCCCATCTCTCTCAGCCTGTCTTCACAGGATAGGTGCATCAGCCCTCTGGTCATCTTTGTGGCCCTGCTCTGGAACTGTCTTTCAAGTTAAAACACTGCCCCTTGTTTTGTCAATAAAGGTTCTAGTTAAAAGTTTTTACTCAGTCTTTCTTAACATATTTCTAGGGTATTTTCCTGATAGAAAGTGCTGTGGGAACACTAAATTTAGAGTTCATGTGAAGTATATATGTACTCTCTCAAACTTTTGGTGTTCATAAGTGTTCTTTACATGCATTTTACAAAAAAGGTAACTGGATCACAGGACACTCCAAAACCTCCAACAGCAAACAGGACTATACAAATAAATCTGAAACACTTATTACAAATTCACAGAACCACCAGCAAAAATCTACTTTGCAAAATAACTTCTACTTTCAAACAGCTTGTTTACCTGAGAATAATGAGCACTGAAACCAGCTTGAGACATCTCCATTTCAAAAGAGGAGGCCTGCTGGTCTGTTGTTGCTATTAAACAGAAAAAAATAAGTTTCAAAAATAGATTTGTTCCAATCTGAAAAAGTAACTGAAGAGTGTTATGAAAACAACCATGTGATTGTAAAGGATAGCATAAATAACTATCATCTATTCAATGACTGTAGTTTACTATAGAGTTTTATAATAAACACAGAAATAAAGACCTGTGTTGAATGCTACTATTAAGTACAGGAATTTCTAATTTAAGATCATGTCTCAGAACTTGTCCAACAAAGTTTCTGGACTAAAACTGACCAGATTTGAACTCAGGCTGATGGTAAGTATGTTTGGAATGTTTGATTAATATGGTTAAGCCATTTTCCACTTGAGCTAAGTGAACAATAAAACACCAGCCATGTAACCCTGGCCTTATATTCAAGCAACTAAAGTTTTGTAGGCAGCTGGAGGAACTTTAAATGAAAAACACTTGATATTTGTATGAACCTTTGCAAAAACAACAAGGAAAATCTCTGCTGTCCAAGATTCATATGCCTCAGCGAAGTGCTTGGGAATGATAACCCTGCCCTGACAATTATATGAAGATCTGATTCTCTTAAATGACTTCGTATAAAAAAGTTATCAGATGATTTTGTACTAGCTTCAATATCTTGTCAAGTAGTCATATGCTAGTTATTAAACTTTGATGGGCTGTTTTTCTTCCAGGTAAACTTGAAAATATCATCATGGAAAAAAAAGTTCTGCCTTTTCCTCTACTTAAAAGAAAGATAAGTAGCCCTTAATAGTCAAGGGCTATTTTGCCACTCTAAGTGGCCAAGTAGGGGAACCATATTCTGCATGTAGATTCTTCCTTGAGAGCAAGATATTCCAGCAGGCAGTAGAGACAAGCTATGAAATCTGCTCTGAAACTCATCCAGGAAGAATCCACAGTTTGCTACCAGCTGAGAGCTGCAGCAAACCTTCAACTGTGTGAATGAAACTGAGCCATAGCAAGCCATGGTTGCATGAATTTCAGACATCTGGACTATTAAATAATACTGAACTTTTCATACTCAGCAACCAAACCCCAGTGGTTGCTCCGGAGGACATAATGGCTTTTCTAATTGTTGTAATTTACAGCCAGTCCTAGGAAGGAGACATGATCTCAAATACAGTGTTGGACGTACAAACAAAGACTATCATGTTTCACAAGATGTAGCTGCTTTGCTAAGTCTGAACAAGTCATTTTTAGGCATAAAACTCTTAAGCTGCACATCTGCTGATAAACAATATTTTCATGCAGCAAAGGATACTCCTAATGAGCTGAGAAAGACAGAATTCTCACAGCCTGAGGCAGAGGACAAAGCTGGTACTGTTGGTGTGTGCAGCTCAAAATACTACTTAGATAATGGCCCTTAGCCTAACTTTCCATTCAGTTTTAAACTGCCAAGCATCTTACAAAGGATATTTTGTGAAAAAACATTTGTGCCTGCCTATGAGTTGGATAAAACATAAAATTGCTGTTAAAAGCAATGTCCATGCCATGAGACACAGAGGCATATGAAAAAGATTATGTGTAAAAATTCACTGGCTGTCAAGCAGGAGTTTTTGTTGGATTTGATTTTTTAAATCTCTCCCAATTCTTCTTTGAATTTTTTAACGAACCAAAATGAAATTAAGAAATCCAAGAAAAAGAATCAAATGTACTACTACCCTACTAGCAATTTAAAGAAACAATTTAGATTGATAATTTAAACAGATTCAGATATCAAATTTCAACAGCCAAGGTTCTTGTGATGCACAGAAGCTACTATGTACAGAGCTGATTAATCTCCAATTGAACACATCCAATAAACTGGCTTGTCAAAAGCTGCAGGGTACAGAATTAATGCTTGCTTCCACCACCAGACAAATGCATACATGGACACAGTTGTGAATCCAGAATTCAACTGAAAGGTTTTGGGATAGGACAAGAAGCTATGCCTCAAGAATCAGCAGAAATCGATTTAGTCAGTATTATCTAGCTCCAACCCACTGGAGCAGCTTGACCTTGCTATGCTTTGAGAAAAAAATAAAATCCTCTTTTTATTTCTATTCTGATTCTCTTGCATAAAAATTACATGATTTCTGGAACTTAGTTCGAGGAGGAGACATTTCTCATCTCATATTGCAGGAGTCTTATGTAGAAATCTTAGTGCATCTCTGAGTTCCTACAGAAAATCTTCAAACCAAGATGCCTTTTGGCAGTAATGAAGTTAATTAGATTTTCAAAAACTCAGTCATGTTAGGTCTTAAATCCTTCACCTGTTGAAACATTAACTTCTATATTCATTATAGCTAATAGATGCAACTAACATTTCATTCTGACAATGGAGTCAAGTATTTTTCTCACTTTTTTAGAAATATAAAGGACAAATTGAAGACCAAGTTTTCAACCTCTGTTTGAACAACTATATTCCCTCTAAAAGTACACTTCCTAGTACACAGTGACTTAAGAAAAGAACACCCTATTCAATTAACTTTGAAGTACTCAATGGCTCTAAGTAAGCTAAACTTAGAGCTTAGAGAGATTAGATTCTTCTCAAATTAATTTGTTGCAAAGCTGAGGAAACCAAATAGTCCAGAAGGTAAAAAAGAACATAAATTATATTTTAATAAATTTTTATTGCTGGAAATATTTAGTAATAGCTGAAAACATTAACATTTGACCAAACTAAATAATACACAAAAAAAATCTAAATATGTCTGAGAAATACAATTACAATGTCAAAAAAGGGAAAATACTTTCTCAATTTTGTACATTCAAGTCAATATTTTCTTTTGTTCCAGTTATAAACTACAGTATTCTAGCTACTTGGAAAGTTGAAGTGTTGCAAAAAATAGTCCAAATAGATGGATGTTTTCTTTGTACTACACGAATCCCTTCAGAGTTGGCCAGTATAATTTATAACTAATAAACTCTGTCTCCTGTTACCAGTAGTACTTGAAACAAACAGTTGTTTGGGCAGTGTTGTCTCATTTGGAATGTAAGCAGACATAAGAGAATGACTTTTCTGTGCTACAATCTGAATACTGTCAACCTTCCCAAAGAAAAATCATCTCTTGTTAACTCTATACAGCAAGTCCCTGCTGACTTGTATAGCAAATTAATATGCTGTAATTAATAATTAACCAAAAAGAGACTCAAAACATTTAGGCAGAAAACCAGATGATCACAGGGTAATTGGGGTATGATCTGGTAATATTTTTTACCTAAAACAGGGCAACTTCCTATTTATCACATTCAAACAATTCTGGTTACTTACCCTTTTAGGCTACTGTCTCCACAGGCTCTAACTCCTATGCACGTAGTTGCATCTGTATCTACTATTTGATGTCTATTATGAAATATCTTTATAACCAGCATGGAAGAAATAATTGCATAATAAAATTTACACAGCACAATGCATTTTCAAAGGAAGGTAAAAATAGGTGTTCTTCTATTTGTTTCAGTTGTAATGCAGGCATAAAGGAAAATCTTAAATAATGTCATACCTTCCAGGGCAAATATTCTCTCTCCAAGTGCTTCAACAATGGTTAAAAGAGCTAATTCATCTGAGACATTGAAAAAATGCTTTTCAGTAGGCTTACTGGCAATTGATTTTATTTCCTCTACAAATTTCTCAGTACTTAAATTTCCTCTGCTGTAGCTGCCAAGAATCTAAAGAAAATTAAAAAAAACCAAAGAAACAAAAAAAAGTCAAGCATATATTTCATAACCTGTTTAAAAGGATATCATTGACGTAAGTTGTCAGGGAATGGTGGAAAATCATATCTGACCTTAATTTGTTTTGTTAAAACCTCACTCAAATTGATTTGAAGCCATTCTTTCTCAAGGAGAACAGAACTGTGTGATGGCTCAGTTGTTGTTTTGAAAATACCATTTGACAGGAAACAAAGCAATAGTATTGCTATCCTCAACTGTAGTTTTCACATCTTCACAAAATTGTAATAATTTGTTCTCTGATTTGTTGAAGTAGGCCATAATTTTGGGAAAAACCAACAAAACACTTCCCAACCCAGAGTACAATTACACTGGCTTCTGCATAACCACAAGTTCTTATCGTAACATGCTATACATGCAATTAATGACAAGTGGATTAGGCATAGAATAGTTCTTTATTCTGTGAAGATTTGCCCTACAAATACATATAGGAACAACACTTCCATTCAGTGAACAACTTCAAAATGATACAAGACTTTAGATTTGGTCTGCAGTTTTAACAACACTGCTGTATTCAGGATACCTCAGAAACAAACACCGCACTTCTCTTAATTCCCAGACAAACAGACATTTTTCATATGAAAAATGGCTCATATAGACTAAACTTGATTTGAGAGGGAGACAAAAACCAAATTCCTATGGTGTAGCATCTCAGCCCACTGGAGCAATTCATATTTGGTTCTAAACAGGGATTTTATTGCTAAAATTGTTGCAGTGTCAAATTTTTCTTTAGTTATCTCTAATTTTATGAAGAAAACCACCAAAAATCTGTGTGCTGCTGGACTCAACTTTTGGTTTATATCCTTATTTAAATTAAGTATAACTTGTTTCTTTAAGTTTTATGGTTTCATACCACCTTATTTTACCAAAAAATAAGATCGCAAAACAAAGAAAGATAATAACGGACAGGAAACAACCCAATGTCCCTTCAAAATTAACAGGAGAAAATAGAAGATTTGTGTATAAAATAAACAAATATAGTGGAATATTAATACCAAATCCATAATTAGTGGTTTCATATTTCTTGATACAGGCTAGTCTTTATTCTCATTCAGCTACTGTTTGCTTAGCATGAAAATGACAGCTTTAGAATGCAAGCATACAACAGAGACATAATGAACAAGTATTTTTTGATGGCTTGCATTTGCTTTTTTTTTTTTTTAAATAGGTAATGTTTCCATAGAAGTTGTTTAGAACTGTATTAGTTCCTTTGCTCAGCATTGCTTTTAACAAAAATTATTTGATTTAGAACTGTCCCTCAAACTCTTCCTCCTTTTTCTTCACACAGACACACACTTGTCATCACACAGAAGACAGATAAATTGCTTTTCTTATATGCTATAAAATCAGAAAGCAAATTTCTAATGTTTTTTTTCAGCTTCTTCCATTCTGAAATAATTATATTTCCATAAAGATTCTGTAAAATGAACTTCTAAAACTGAAATTACATTTAGAAAATGAAACATGCTTTTAACATTCTGAATTTTCCCATTAAATTTCACTTACAGCAATAGCAAATCTCTGAATGTTTTCATCTTCACAATCATCAATCACTTCTTGTAATCTATAGTTGTCATGTGATTCCCCATCAGTCACAATAACCATTACTTTTTGCACTCCTCTTCGTGCACCATGAGCCTCAGTAAAAGCTTCTTCCCTAAAGGGACCATAAAGTGTTTTGGAGAAAGGCAGTGTCAGCATTTAGCATATGCATCATATTTGCATAGCCAACCATAAAATACAAGATTTTATATTAACCAGGAAGCAGGAAATGGAGATTAATGTTAACCATGAACAAATACAAGCAGCTTCAATTGGAACTTACATGACAGTTCACAGCCAAAGTTTCACAAGCATTCATTCATCATTCACTCACTTGAGAGCAACAGCAAAAAATACAAATCTGGATAGTGAAAAATTCTTCCCCTCTACAAATAAACTTCTGGGACTTTAAAACAGCTTTTGGCATCTTAAAAAAAGACACAGCCAACACCCTACCTTTCCAAAAACCTATGTAGAAAACTCTCACCTACTTCCACCCTACAGTAGCACTTCAAGTGGTCAAACTGTTTACTCAGCTACCAGCACATCTCTGCACACCCATGTTAATTAACACTGGGTGTTGGGGACGTGGCAGAAATAGGTTGCAGGTAAATGGAGGAATATTGGGGCACCCATTTGAATTCTACAGTTGCAGATGGACAAAAAGGCTCTGAGGTTTTGGTCAGCTGTTCTGGACCTAACAAGGCAAGGCTGGATTAGGACTCTGAAGGAGAAGGAAGGAAACAGGGCTTCCTCTTTTCAGAAAAATACCACAGAATCCCAGGACTGGCCACATGAGTAAAAGCTGAAGTTTACCACTGAAAATGGCCAAGGGGGGATGACTGTGAGAACAGAGGAAGCTTTTGATGATAGTTTCTGTATATACAAGCCTGCTGTAGTTTGTGGTATACAGGGGCTTTCTGAACTAGATGTGGTTTCTGAATATTTGGCAACTCTCAACTGGCTCCACTTTCATGAACTTGTTTAGACTCCTCAAGCTTCTACTTGTATCTCAGGAAAACCTTAATATATAAGAATTCAATTGTACACCACATCAACAAAATTTTGGTCAGATAATCAAATTGTTCTTCAGAAGGATGCTGTGTGTTTCATTAAATGGTTGTTTGCAAAGAGTGAATACAATCTTTTGCAGAATAAAACACGCTTTTGTGATGGAAGAAACAAACCCAGAAAAGAAAAGAGCTACTAGGACAACATTGTACATTTTGAAATTTTCTGAGAGATTTTACATTTACTGTCTGTTCTATGAAAGTCAGATTTCATTTTTCTTATAAAAGAAACATTTCTAAATATTGCTATTGCTACAACAGGTCTTTAATCTCCCAGTGACTGAGAAACTTCAAAGACTTAGAATATAAAATTTTTAGGCCTTCTGACAAGTGTGGGCCCAAACATTGTAATATTCAACTTCAGAATGAAAACTAATTAACATTAAATTTTTTTTCTTTTTTTGCTTTTCCTCTGAAAAACTTGATTTTATTCATCCTGCTACATATACAGTTCCTACCTGCTCTATGTGGACATCAGATAATGTCAGCCCCTTGCTCCGTATCTATTATATTTTCCTAATTCCTCCACTCAGGTGACAGCTGCCTTTCATACTCAATTGCTCTAGGTGCTGGATAGAGTATGCTTATCCATCATAAATATTGCTTGCTTAGCTAAAATGAAGTCAGACACTAGCATGCCATGTTTTTAACACATAGAATCAGAATCACCACCCTGCCCTGTTAGCTTCTCCCTTGTGTGCGTACCTGGCCGTGTCTATTCCCAAGGCTGTCATGGTTTGCGTGCCGCCCCGCTGGCGTATTCTCGAGGCTGCAGCCATCACATCTTCTGTTGTTGAGTATGTATTCAGGTAAAATTCATGGACTACAGTCTGTCCATACTGAACAATTCCAACCTGAAACACAGAGTTCATGTTTGAAAAGAACTGCCCTTAAAGAAAATATCCCTGACTCTTGTAGTAGGGTAAATGTCTGTTTGTACTTACAGCCAGGGGAAGAATTGAACTCTTTGCATTTCCCTCAGGATGAAACACCTATATGAGTTTGAGCAAGCCTAGATAGATGATAGTCTCATGAAACATTTTGAAGTTTCTAAATTGCTTTTATTAGAAACTGAAATAAAGTCAAAATCTGTCTCAAGTCCTTGGTCTTCCTGGCTTGAATCTGGACGGGAGCTCTGCTCTCCTCTAAGCCAAGCAGACCAATGCCCCAGCCATAAGTCCCAACTCTTCAAAAATGTTTTCCTTATGGCATACAAAGTCATGGCTCACTGAAAACTCTCTTCATTACACTCAAATATAATATTCATACACCCCATACTTTATTTTCCCTAAATTCAGCCTAGAAACAGGAAGACCCAATTATTCTTGTCTTGATGAAGACAGCAGGGACATCCATTACATGCATGTTCTCCCAGAAGGAGGTAAGTTGAAGTATCACCAGAGGGTAAAACATGAAGGAAATGGAAGCTTTGGTATGAGGGAGGGTAATGCAAAGTCCGTAGATGACCTTAGCAGAGCAAGTCTTTGTCTGGAAGATCAAAACATGGGTTTGTGCAATAATCACAAAATGCTTGAGGAAACCTGCTGCAAAACCAAGAGTGGAATAAAAAGACGAGCAATATTCTTAAATATTAATTTATTTCTCCCATTCATCTCTGTCAGTTTTAATATTTTGTCAGGTTCCTGACAGCTTTTACTGGGAAGAAGGCAAACAATGTTCCATTAGCATATTTCAATTTTACGTTGCACATGGCAATTTATAGGTGTTATTTAGGATAATGCAGCATTGCGTGGCATTTATATCTCACTCATCTATTATTAAAAGCACTCTAGCATAAAGTTATTGGAGATGGGATGTTTTTGCCATCGTATTACTTTAGAAGTGGCTTAGTATGTACTTTACAATTGCTTTACAGGGTTTTTTTTAGGTATTTTCATAGCCCTTCAGATCCTGCTCAACATTTGTTTACTTGTAGCAGAAGAGTTAGAATTGGATAAATATTTCACAGTAAATATCAATAACATGATCATGAAATTATAGTTATAAATGATTATGGGACTATAATTATATTGGCATGTGATAGCAAAACCTCTGCCACTGAATGTCCGTATCTTTTTGAAAACACAGTCATATCTGTAATAACTAATGTAGGCTCAAACTTATAACAAGTTTCTGTCTTTCAGATATTTGTCTCTGAAAAAGACCTCTGATAGAAGAGGTATGCCCTCTTCTATCTGCAGCAGAGAGAATGCAGAGGCTGCAATATTCCTGTAAGCAGCAGGCTATGGACCCTGTTCAGTGTTTACAGAACAGGCCAGGGCACACTGTCTCATCACTCAGAACACTCATGTGGCACTGAATAAATTACAACCTGAAGATGAAATTTTTAACCTGTTCCCTCCAAGGCAACTATTTTGTGGCATGCATCTGAAATGACACACCACATTATCTGAATAGGATGCTGTTAGTCTTTTAAAAGGACTGCTGTGAACTGGTAATGAACAAGAGATTTGCATCATGATTGATTTTCTGGAGGAGGAGTATATGGCTTAAAAATTCCAGTGTCATGCACCAATTGTAGCCAGAGACTATAGTATGCTGGGAAGCTGTTTGGTGTGGATTCATGTCTCCTTCTGTGCAGCTTTTGAGGTACCAATAATGAAATCATCTATTGACTGCTGCCAGTGTGAAAAGCATCTGCCAGTCTTTCATGGTTCTAGAGACCCATGTTGGTGTTGTCATTCTCCTAAAAAAAGATTACAGGCTGACATTGAGTTGTATAATTTCCTGTTTGAAAGGAAATGTCCATGATCACAGCAAGTACACATTTTGAGCATTTCCTTCTCAGGAAGTGAATGGGAAGAACATCTGAGTCTGAAAACAGCACTGTGCAGCTTAGCTTGTAAATCAGGAAGGAAGGGGGGCATGTGGTTATCTTATAGGATACAATTGTCATGTGCGACCCTTCCTAAGCACTAGCTTCAAAAATACTGGTCATTATATTCAACATAGTCCATGATATCAAAGAGGAACCATTCCTTAATAAAAGGTAACAAAAAGTCCCTGAGAAAATGCTACTAGGCTCCATGTTCCAGCCTCCTACAGGATCACAAGATGATCACCTTGCAAAATTAATATTTATAGTTATATTCTATTAGACAGCAATGAAGGTTTGAACTTTTGTAGCCTTTTCATCTTACGAAAAACTGAAAGTGACACATCTACATGATGCAAATGTGCCTTTATGGAACTTTAGCAAGCCCCTAAGTATGATGCTTACAGGCATAATATGTTCTGATTTCCTTGTTTAATATATATCTGGAAAATGCAATAGTGCTACACAGAAGGACATAATTCTGCTGTACTCCAGAGAACCTATTATTTTTCCCAGCATTACTGACCATAATCTATTGAACATTCCTGTAATTCTTAAGTTTATGTTCCCTTCCCTAGCATTCCATGGCTTTTACATTACACAAGGGAATAATTCTTTAATTGTCCCCAGTTCCTGTGAAAAATGTTGTACAAGAGAACAGGCAAGTGATGGACTGTTCTACTTCGGAACAAAGCAGTTCTCAGGGCTATGATTTATTGTTGTCCTATAAATGAATACAGACCCTTATTTGGAAAGCGCATTCTGGCTTTACCAATAAATTATCAAGCTAATCAATTTGGAAAAAAACAACAACTAAAATAACAAAATGAAAGGAAAACCATTTGGTACATGAAATCATATGTGAGATTTTTCAGCATTGGGATGTGGAGAGAAATCAGGAATTTTTTTGGATGTTCTGATACTTAATGTAAAAGAAAAGCAGAGATGCCTTGGGAAGCACTAATGGACAATATATTTTTTCATAAGAAGATCTTTTTAAAGGCATCTGAATGAAAAAATTTTAATTCTACCACATTTTGTTTACTTCAAGACACAAGTTACTTGTAAACTCTTGCAAATACCTTTCTTTAATCTTTGTAGTATCTCTTAAATACACTTCTGTTCTTCTGAAGACAAAACTAATCATAAGATATGACATGGCATGACTTATCAGTGTACTGATACAGTCCCTTTGGAGATGCAGTAAGGTACAGGCCAAACATCTATAACTGCCTAGGTCATATAATAATGTAAAAATAGAAACGGTCTAAAGATTTCTGAAGGCCTTTCCAGCATAGCTTTGAAGTTTTGAAGCTATGCTGGAAGAAGAATTGAATTTATTCAAGTATTCTGCTTTCTTTTTTGAGAGAAATCCACAGAAAGTTACTCATATGCAAATGATTAAAAAACCTACCCCTCCATAGCAAAAAGATAATTATCTTCAAAACAGTTAAAAATTAGGCAAAAAAAGGCCAAGAGAAATATCTTGATTTTGTTTCTACTTCTACTATTTCTACGTAATTCCTCCTTCTTTTTCTATTTTTCTATCATCACTTTCCATTTGTTTTTTTAATCCCAAAACTCAAGATATGCAGCTTAATCATCAGTATGGTGCTGCATATCTGGAGAAGAGAAAGAGGAAGGGAAGGAAAAAAATGCCATAAACTTTGACTTTCTGCATCTGAAACTTCAGGCTTCATTTTTAAATCTGCCAAACATGGGACACTGAGCAATTTCTCTCGACTTGCTACTAGTCTTGCTACTAGTCTAATGACCATTGTTCATGAAAGAGGTAAGTGGGAAAAAAAATTTCAAAAGCCTCTAATCAAAACACAGTTTTGAACAAGTCACACCCAATCTGCTAAGGAGTTATTCTGTAATCACCTCATTCCTTTCCTGTGCAAAACAACCGTAAGTCAGTGAAAGTCCACTGATTTCTACATAAGCAGTAATAAAAATTTAAATTGGAAAAGTCAATTTAAACAGAAAAAAAGTAAATTATTGTTCCAATGCTTCTCTTCTGGACTCCCAGAGGAGAGGGGATAAAAAAGCCTGCTCTGCTGTTTCTCCTGTTTCCTATTGTATAGTCACTTGAACATTTTTTCTGAGAAAGCAGACAGAGTGGGTGGGTGACAGAATATAAATTCATTACTAACTTCAGCTGCAGTAGGGCTCCTAAGCAAGGGGCTCAGAGGAGAGGAGAGATGAGATGGAGAAGGAGGAAGGTAAAAGGGATTGAGAAAATTCCACTGAGCTTTTGTTGTCCATTTCCAGTTTTTCAGCCTCTCTCCTCCTTATACCATTCTTATCTCCCTTTCAAATGTTTCTGCTCTGTAGCAGCCAGATGCCAAAGCTGACGTCCTCAAGTGAGTATGTGTACGTGTGAGAAGAAGGATGCCAAACTGTGGGCACAAGGGATTTTGTAGGTGGAGATGGGAAACTGCTGGAGTGCAGGCCAGAAAGGGACCTATTGTGCACCAGCTAAGCCACACAGATGAGGCAGTATTCCAAAATTGAACATAACAGAGGTGTGGCATTGTAAAAATTTAGGAGTTGCTGGGTGAGGAAGAGCAGTGAGGGTGCAGTGGAGTTGATTGCCCTGAGTACCACTCCCATGAAGACCTTTGGGCAGAAAACAGTGATGATTTCCATGCAGCCAATGCTCTATACTGGGAAGTTCAGATTTAAGTAGTTCAAAATGATACATGTTCAAGTAATCATCTATTTAAAGGAACAGAAACAATTTTTTTCCTTTCTGCTGAATTTGACAAAGTATTTTTCCTTTTTCCTCACAATATCTGAAGAAGAGTGTGTTTAAAGTAACAGGATATGATTGCGAAGTTGACAGTCTGTAAGTTATTTTATCAACCAGGGTTCAGTACAGACAACAGAGGGCCTGGGTGGTAACTGAAAAACCCTAATTAACATGGAAAATGATGCATAACTCTCTGCAGACAGAGATATCCTTTACATCTTCTCACAGTCTCCTTTATGAAGGCAGGAGCTGAATGTTAGGAGCTAATCCACAATTGCAAAACTGCCTGTAGCATATAATTAATTACAGGAGGCCCTGGAAAACCCTTGATTTTGGGAGGTGGAAAATAGAGAAAGGAAAGGAAGAAACAGTTTCTTCTGTTGCTGTTAATAAAGGTTTTTGTGTTAATATGTATCCCAGACTCAACTGTTTTTCCCTTCCCAGAGTTCTTTTAGAACTGATATTTACATAATCTGTTAAACAGCGTGTGGGACATATGCCAGATCCTCAGGGGGTAATTGGTCATAGCTCCATTAATTCTGATGGAACCACATTGATTTACTGCAGCTGGGAATTTGGCCCTCTCCACTTATTATATAAATGCAGCTTCTGCCATTAATGACATGCAGCTAAACAGCCACTTGCTAATTAGGATCTCAAGGTTTAAAAGCTGCATGCCCAATGTTCCACAGTACTAGGAACACTGCTCCAAAAAAGCTTACAATCAAAGGATGTCCAAACCACGCATGTGTACTTCAGAAGAGCAGAAATGACCTTTGTGCAATGAAGTACAAAGGAAGACAAGAAGGGGCTGTGGAGAGGAAGGAAGTGGGAAAGGACAGTGTTCAAGCAGCCTCACTTAATGCACTTTACTTTTGTCTCTAGGTTAGAAAGTTTGTTTCTCCAGACTGCCTGAGCAGTGGGGGGAGGGATAGTCTTCCTGACATTGCTGCTTGATGACTGAGTACTGACTTAGTTGTGGTTTCAGCTATTTTGCTTTAGTATCCTGCTGCACCAAGTTCTTAGAATTGAAGAGGTCCATAGATGACACTATTATACCATTTCCTGTAAATTATTTTTTCTTCTTAAATTAAAAAAAACGTAAAATATCTACCATGTTACCTGTGTTTGCTGAGGACCTATATCCATGTTTCTCAGGAGGCTGTTCAGAAAGTCTGTGACACTCTCCCATGGATAAATGCTGTTGGACCCATCAAGTACTATGACAATGTCCAACTGGGTTTTACACTCTGCAACACAAATTGTCACATAAGAATTGACAGTAATAACAAGGATCAGACTTCTCTCACAGCTCCACCTGCTTCTGTCATCAGTAACAAATGTTTATCATTCTGCAGTGTGGCTGAACTGACATGCTTGATGCCAACTATCATTGTTCAACTTTTGCATTGTATTTCACACGGCTTGTGTTCCCTTTATCAAGAAGGAGTTTTTTTGTAAGCAGAAATTTAAGAATGGAAGAAGATCACATAACTGGAGTATCCCCCTACTTTTGCCAATGTCAGTCTATTCTAGGACCAGGTCTTTAAGATTTGTATGTATATTACTAAACTGGGCTTGTATTAGGTCTCCGTATGCCGTCATTATTTAAAAGGAGTCTTTTGGCCATAAGTTAATAACATAAGCAACTATTTTTAGCAATTGTGTTTGGATGTTACATAGCACTGTAATGATTGTTTATACTGAGATAAATTCCAAAAGTAGGAAGAATTTAGGTTATATACAGACAAAGAAAACATTTACTTAACTTGGTAATGCTGGTAGCTAAGTTAGGCAGTTCATTTTTTTCAGTATGCCTATGTGTATACATTTGTCTTGTTTGGCACTCTTTATTTTTGGACACACGGGAAAATTCCTGCAGCATGCATACCTTGCACAGACGGAGCAATGGCCCCAACAGTTTCAAAAGTGGAGCTGACATTAGAACAAACTCCAGTTGTGTAATGCAAACGTCCACATTTATAAGCATAAAGTGGTCCACATGCCTTTAAAAAATAAAAAAGGGTGAAATGTTTTTGTTATGATATCCGAGAAAAAAACAGACTTTCAAAATTAGCAAAAAGTCCTTTCTTACCAGAAACCCTCCTTTTGGGTTAGTCACTAAGGTTGTTCCAAGAGTCATGTTTTCTTTTACTTCCACGACATTAGGAACTGAAGTAGAAGCTATAAATAGATTAAAATGTTAAGTATTTGGGAACATGAAAACAAAATGTTAAATTATATATCCCCTAGTATGGAGCTTCCAGCTTCTAAAATAAAACCCAGACTGACACTGGTTTCATCAAATATTTTAGCACCCTTCCCCCTCATTCTTCAACTGCAACAATCAAGAAAAATTTCTGAGACTGGCTTTTATCCCAGAAAATTTGTCTGGGTTGCTGTCTCAAATAGTTTTGTTGAACCGCAAGAAGAGAAAAAAAAGTAAAAATAACAGCACAAAGAAAACAAGATACTACTATGCACAAAGTGTTGTTGATTAGGGAAAAAAAATTCATTTTTTTACCTTGTCTTGCTATGACTGACTTAATAGCTTTTCTATTTGTTACTATTATGTTGCATTACTGACATTTAGGTTTTCAAGGAATAAAAGGAGATAAAAAATATCACAGCAGGTATATTTAGTGATGTTCATATTCAACAGGAATTTCCTTCTAGTCTACATCAAGTATCTCTTGACTTGACCAAAAAAATTATTAAAGTTTACCTTTGGCATATTAAGATGCATCAGCCTAGTTACATTTTCATCAAAAGATTACTGATGGCATTATGAAGGCTCTTGGCTTCAGAAAGCTTTGGAAAAGGCAATCCATGAAATAACAGTCTAAGACCTTCCTGGCTCAATGGCCAGGACTGCCAACCACAGTCAATTAAAGTCAGTCATAATAAAGTTTTGATAACACAACCACATCCCCATTCTAAAAGTATTAGCATGTTTCCTACAGGATAGTGAGAAGCCTTAAAATATAATTATTTGTAATGTTACAAACACAACTTCCTTCACATTTAGCTCTGAAGCCCCAACAAATTTTCACTAGAAAAGCTGTGACACAGCTTTATTTCCTTTCGTACCTGGTAAATTCAGTTTTATGCAGGGTGATGGGCTGTCCCTTCCTACAGGGCATTTGTAGACATCGCCTGTTCTTTTCTCAGGTTGGCCAACTAGTGGTGAACCAATAAGTACCCTGCAAATTAAATAAATTACCTGAAATATCTTCTTTCTATCAAGGGACTAAGGTGAGCAAATAAAACTTGCAAAGAGAGGACAGCTGCAACAAGCTCCACGCTACCAGTATAGGATTGAGAAAAAGAAAGTATCTATTATACCAGTCCAGATGCAAGAGAAATAATGAGATGAAAAGGAAATGTGCCTATATACCAAATTACAGAATAGAATAACACTTAAAAAACTCCAGGGGAAAATCAAAGCAATATAGGTGGGCAGACAACAAGTCTTAGAAGTAATACAGAAGGAAAAATATGCTTTGTTTAATATTGGTCATTACAAGAGCTTAGATGAAAACCTATTTTCCATGCTCAGGGACCAAATGCTAAAGGAGACATTACAAGCACTCAGAGGAAGAATTTTGTCTTAAAATAATATGGAGTAGCACTGTAAAAGACATGTTCTTCCCTGTCATTAATAAAAAAAAGGTTATTAAAACAATTTTAAACTTATAAAATGCAGAGAAGCTGCGTGTACATGACATCCCCTGGGAGGTGATCAATAGGCATCAAGTTCATGCCCCTGTGCTGTTCCTTTCTCAGAAAGAAAGAGCCCCATGAAGAGTGGTCTGAAAGGCTATTTTATTTTGTCTTTTTGTATGAGGGAATACCCAAGTTATTGAGAAACAGATGCAGTCAGGTTCAGAGACCATTTGATGCTGGAAAGATCTATTGGTGCCCTATAGGTAGCATTAAAGCAGTAGAAAAATTCTCAAGGATCTTTTGTATATTTTTAACTATCAACTTACATATTTTCTGCTTTAAATAGTGATGTGCTGAAAGCTTGACAAATTACAGGAGCTCTGAAGTTCAATTTCAGAGATGTCCAGATGTAGCACAATAGTTTATATCACTACTGGTAGATCCACCATTTCCAGATCATATTATTGCTTGCTTTTGAAAGGTCTCAGGACTGCTTACAACAATACAGCTTACTTTGCAAATTCCCAGCTCCTAAAACAGATTCCATTTCCTGAAGGTCTAAATTAGCTCAAAGAAGGTCATTATTCTTATTCTCTCATGACCCTCACACAAATGTGTATTTAAACATCCTACAATTGCAGCAGTCCAGAACTAGCACATTCAAAGGCAGTCTCTGTGTTGCAGTGGTGGTCGGACTCTCAGAGCCTGGCAGACCCAGCACATGCAGTGGTGATTGCTCACCACAGAACAGTCTGGCCTGTCTGTCACAGACTCCTGCTGCCTGTCATTGCTGCATGCTGCAGGAGTCCCTGGCTTACCAAGAATTGTCAAAAGGGCTCTGGGAAAACCAGAGCCAGCTGCAAAGAACGATAAAGATCTCTTTCCCAAACCTTTTACCATACAATTGTTATTTCAGTCCTCCAGCCCAGTCATCAGCCTCTGGGATTTAACAAGGGAAAAGCATAGGCAGGTGTTTATCAAATGACCAAGAAGCAATGACATGGGTGAGCATACCAAATTACAGCCTCTACTTAGAACAACAGGAAGGAAAAAAGAGGTTAAGATAAAGGCTCCAGGTCCTCAGTGCAAACATATTACCAGTTGCAAGACATACTTAGCCCTCCAAAAGGGAAGGCAGAGGGAGTACTGTACTAATTAATATTTTGACAGGTAAATCTGAATTAAACATATTTAAAAAATTCAACCAACAGAATTAAAAAATTCAGTGTAGATAACCCCTGACAGAAAACTTTAGAAAAAAAAAAAACAAACCCTTAATGCAGAAGTAATTTCATTGTAAATACATTAACAAGAGAAAAAGGTAAAGATTTCATTTGATAAATGGAAAAAACAGACCTCAAAACACAGTACTTTCTCAGTTCCATCAATGAGGGAATTTACCCATTTTGTAAAGTCATTTGTGTCTTCGAGGACATAATTGGAGGCATGCATGTGGATCTCTTTCTCTCCCAATCTTTCCAGATTTCCTAAGGGCTTGTGCATAGGTTTAAGAAATATACCTGACAGAATATGACTTTAACTTGAAAATAAAAGCACAGCACCTGAGTCACTGAATACCTGATAATTTGGAGTGTTCAGTTAAAAAAAAAAAGAAAAAGAGCTTACCATTTCCCTTCCTCATTTTCATACTGTTGGACTGTGTACCCGAACATATCTTCCAGAGGCCCACTAAAGGTCAGTGCATTTTTCACATCAACATTGGAAGTGCAAACAAGGTGAAAGAGAGCTTTAAAAAAATAGTATTTAAAAAAAAATTAGTATGTAGAGTATAAATAAACCCAAATACTTCTAAGAAACCAACATTCAATTATGACTTAATGAAAGGTACAAGACGTTGAAAGTGGCATTTGTGGCACACATATCACAGCTTGTAAGAGATTTAAACCATACTTCCTCATACATAGATACATAACTAAATTCAGAGTTGTTAGCAACTGGACTTCTGTACTCCAAACATATTTTTCAAACTCACATCACTCATTTTAAAATCAATTCCAATGACAGTAAGTAAAACTTCTAAGAATAAATAACTATTTAGTTATTTATTTAGTTTAGTTTAGTTATTATTTTAGCTCCATTCACTTCTAAAGCAAGAATTTAATACAAGTGTTCCCTCATTCAAGTAATTAGTTATAAAGGTTACTTAAATTGAGAAATAACTATTTTTTACCTGAAAATTTTTGAACAAAAAGCAAATTGGAAAAGAATAAGGAAAAGCTTTCAGATGTATTTAATTTTAATCTATATTAGACAAAAAAAGTATATAGTTTTTTTTTAATTCCTGTAAACTATTCATATGTGGAAAAGAATAAAATAAATTTTCTACGCAATCTTTTGCTGATCTCCATAGTACCTATATGTGATTATTTGCGGAACTCTGATAATTGTGCATTTAGGAAAAGTTGCTATACGATGGTGATCTTGGACTGTGAAGAGATCAATGAAAAGAGCAAATGCTTCTTCCGACTGATTTCCCATACCCTAAAGTTCAGTAATCATCACCACGGAAAATACTACAGAAGTTTGACTGTATATCAAGTTTCAGAAAAACTTGAGATACAGGGTAAAAATCCAGCTTGAAGTGATATCTATAACTGCAAGGTCCATTAAGAAGCATAAACCACTATTTATATTAAAATATAATTATTAATAATTTATATTCTTATAAATAATTTTATATATAAATAATATATAACACTATATATATATACAGATAATGCTATTTATCTTTTGTTTATTTACTATTTCTTATAGTGATCTATTCCATCTTTGTTGTGTAAATCAGTTTCAAAAGTAACCAGTAACTCTGCTGCTGCAGAGCTGTATATTTAATTCACAAAAGCAAAAAATTAGGGGAATTTGTAGAATGTTTAGGCTGCTTAAAAGCACAAATATACATAAATTTTATTTCATTTCAAAGAAGCATTTCATGATCATTTGCTGACACAACAGTTACATAAAAATACCCAAATACCCAATACTTGCTGCATGTCAAAACATCTAAATAATGTCCAGTTACTGAAACACATCTGTGTTATTCACCATTGAGTTGACAAAATTCTCATGGAAGGCTTGTTACTATAATTAAGCTCCCAAGTGGTCAATACTAATCTGTCTCTCTCAGCATCTTATTTCCTGCTTAATGCAGTAAAATTATCACAGAAGACAATTTGTCATTTAGTAAGTATTTCCAGTTTCAATGGACAGCAAAAAAAAGGAAAAGTAATTCGTGTTATTTTAGTTTTTCTTCCTCCAGTCAGAATCAGGAAATATAAAGAAGTGAAAGAAAGTAAAACAGAGATTAGTTCTTCAGAAAATATTCACTGCAAGTGATAAGAAAAAGTTAATCATTGTCAGACTGATGGGAAATAATTAGTTGGAAAATAATTTTGTCTCCCTTAAACATTTATGCTTAAAGAAATTCTGCTATGCCTGTTCATGTACAATAGGCATTTTCCTCCCCTATTCTCAGTCATTCAAGTATAATTAAAATGAACAAAGCCAATTTTTAGGAATTCAGTCAAGCTGTCACTAGTTCATGTCTTCTTTTGTTAATTTTAAGTAAAAACTGAAATTTACTACTAAAAGAGTAACAACAGTTGTTAGTATTACTTTCAAACCAAATAAGAGATTGCAACTGTGTCATTTACATTTACAATCTACCTGCTACACAATGAGACAGTACTAATGAGTCACCTGCTAAAGTAACTGTTCATTATTTAGTTCAAGAAAAATTTAGAAACAAATTATACCCATGTCAGCTTCTCTCTTCATGATCTCCAGAGGGTCTGTTCACTTTAGTCTCTGAACAAGGAGAGAACATCCCTCTAGAGGTCTTTAGAGGCATGCTCTTCCCCTTTCCCATCTTATGATGATGTTCAACATGTATCATGATATGAAATACCAACGGCCACAAATTCCAGCCCATTTGCTTTCTCCTGTTCGCTTCACCATTATATCCTCCACCATCATTTTATCATCTAATGATAGAGGAGGAGTTTCATCACACTGATGTAGTATTGACAACTATAGATTTTTATTATGTAGTCATTAGAGAAAATGGTCTTGAAGTTTCCTGAATTAGTTATGTAACTTTTACAAATCTCTTAATTTTAATGCATGTGTTTATAATCCTCATCGTTACAACAGCTGAAAATATGAAACACTAGTAAGTAGACAAATAAAAAATGCAGCTATTTACTACCAACCACCCAAATCCTCATTCTTCTGAATGAGGTTAAATTAGAATCAACAATAATAATGCTTTCCTCTAAAAAAAATGAAGTTAGACAAAACAAAAGAAGCTAGAGGGGCCAGACTAGTCAGAAATGAAACTGAGGTGGTGACTACACAGAGCAGAACAAACCTGTAGACTTTGCTGGCAAAGAACATTTTGGAGGCTAAATGTAATGAGCTTAATAGGGATCTGAATAACTCAATGGAAGACAAAACCACTGCATTTTACAACCCACACGGAATGCACATCTGGTTCAGGAAATTTCTAGTTAGAGATACTTGAAAACTGGAAGAGGAGTGTTACACATGATAACTTGCATACATGATTCTGGACAAAACATGATCTTGATTGGATCCAGTATGGCTGTGCTCTTACTCTTTCATCTTCCCTTTCTGTATTAGCCGGAAGTCAGATGCTTTGAAGTTTGAGTTCATGCACAAACAGTTTGGCATATTTAAATATGCAAATATACTGCATGGCCTTCTCTATGTTCTGTGTGCTTTGAAACATCATGAGCATAATTTTTTTGTGTTAAAGTAAGCGTCATGATAAGCAATGTAAAATTAACTTACAAATAATAAATGTATTTAAAGGTAGCTTGCTGTATTTCCCAAAGGTCCTGTAAAAGAAAATCTTACAAGCCAAAGAGATGTTCAAATCTGCAGATGGTAAATGGAATAGTGGAGTTTATGGTAACCTACATTACATATCTAGCTAACAATAATCTACTGATTATTGTTTATGGCAACTTGTCTTTCATCCTTCATTTCATTTTTTAGTAGAGAAAGCACTATACAGTGCTAATGATTTAGAACATTTAAAATATTACTGATTGTGACTGTGAAAATTGAGTTATTAATAATACCTAGCTTGAACTCTTTCAAATTTCCAGCTTCTGTCTAAGATGGCATACATTCTCTACTGTTTCTAGCTGACTTGTGTATGAATTTAAAATAGTATTGGCAGAAGCACTGGAAAAAGGAGAACTACAGGGAAGTTGGAGAGGATTCTCCTCAGAATTACAGGAATTAAGGAGAAAAAACCCCATTTTTTCATAAGGTGCATAGTATTTTACTTAATCACAAATAACATAGGTAAAATACAAGTTTGAACTCTTTCATGTTATGTTAACAGAATGACTGCAAACAGATCAAAACTGACTCACACAGTTCAGAAATGCAGACTATAAAAGTTTCTCAAAGCTTACAACTGAAGTTCCATTTTCATATTCATGTTCTACAAGAAACAAGGCACTGCAGAAAACCAATGTCCCTCTCACTATTGATTTACACTGGGAACATGAGCTGATACGTGTACCATTCTTTGCTTAGCACAGCTTGTACCTATACATAAGAAGTTAACACTCAGTCACCAAGACGACAACACAAATATTATTCCTATTACAAACCTGGAGTAGTAGCTCATACTTGTCCAGTAGCCACTAATAAATTCTTCTCTGTTTTATTTAATGAGTTCTTTTAACTAAACTTTTGTGCTGTCTGGATAGTTACTCTGCCTCCAAACCATGAAAACTAGACTTTCCTGGGACTTGTTCACAAGCATGTTGCCTGGCTGGCCATTCTAACCTTACAAACACAGAACTGGCACCCTTATTTTCCTAAAAAGATGGATATAAACCTAAGCCAAACTGTAGAACAAAGCCTAACACCTGGTTCTTTACTGATGAAAAATAGATCACCAAAAATTACCCACAGTAAATGGCATCATGAAGACCAACTTAGACAGGAGAAGATAATAAACTGAGTAACAGTATTTTAACTGTGTATGGTCTGTAGCAAATAACAACTGCATTCTCTATAAATAGAGATGATCCCAAGAAATACAAATATTTTCTTTCAAAAACAGGAAAGGATGAATTTAAACTTAGCATTGGAAAAGGCTAACACATTGGCTAACACCACTTCTCCCTGCCAGCATGTGGTTAAAAAGCTATTTTTTGTTTAAATTCACACTTACTGCTATAGCACTTCAGATGTTTTTATCAATTCATCTGCATTTTGCAGGAGACTGAAACAAAGCTGTTCTAGGTGCACCAAGGAGCACACCAAAACAAGTAATGTTTTTCATAAGTATGCAGAATTGGAAAACACTGGGAAATTTAAACAAAAAAAAAAAAAGCTAAAAAAATAAGACTATCTCTGTCTTGGAATATAATAAAGAATGCAGAAATTTAAGCTGAAGCCTAAAATAAGATTAAAATGTTTTATGGAGTTCTCGTATCTTTATCTTGTATCTCGTATCTTTAGGTATCTTGGAAAATAAATTAAAAGAAAAAATTCCGTAATGTTTGTACAGAATATACTACAATCCGTGGTCTTGAAAAGATATTTTAAAAACCTGCAAATAGAACAGGTGTACAATACAGCAACAGGGAACTGTGCATGTGATCACAGTGTACTGAAAGTGTTATTAGAAAAGATGTCCAAATTTTAAGACAATAACTGACCGCCTTTAAAAGTATTTTACAT